TAGAAATTAAATACGAAATTTTTAATGAAATATCTTATTTAACCCAATATATTCAGTTACAGTCAATGTATAAATTGTAAATTAAATTAACAACTAATCAATATAAGTTTATTTATGAGATATTTTACATATCCTTTCATTTGTACTCAGTCTTCCAGAATCCAGAAGCAGCACATTTCATAAATTTTACTCTTGAAAAAGTAGATTCACAATCCCAGGCATAGTTTTCCAATAATTCAGTCCAGTTTATTGTTAAATTTCAATTAATTAAAATTAAAGTTAATTCAGTTTCTTAGTTGCACTAGCCACATCAGTTTTTGACACCAGCCTATGAGCGTTTGAATGCAAAAGAAGTCCATGGATCACTTTGTACTTTCCTGTTGCAGACCTGCAATCAACCATTTCTCCCCAAACCTCTCTTTTTTTAAAAAAAAATTATCATCTGTGCAATACATGGGGTCAGTGCTAAACCAAAATCTGTTGCCACTGAGTCAATTTTGTCTCAGCCTTTTGGTAAACATCTAAAATACGTATTTTCTTACATCATAAATACATATTCTTATTCCCAATACATATTTAAGATCATAAGTTTTTTTTTTAATTTTAATGTGAAAGAAATGGTGCCGGACGATGTTAAATAGGCAAACTAAACTTTATTCAGGCTGTTGTGATAGGAGAGAGGCCTCAGCATAAGTCTGAGTTCAGCTCCAAAGTCTGAGGTGAGGCAAGGGTTTTTTAGTGAGTTTTGGGTGACATGGGGCACTGGAAACTTACTAAGAGGAAGTTGGCAAGCAGAAATGGGGCAGGAGGATGGAGTGTAGGCAAGAATTCTAATAATTTTCAGAAATATTTGCTCAAGGCTGATTTATTAGGCTGGAGCAAGGAACCTTCATAGGGTAAATGGTATAAACGAGCAAATGTTGTCACTTTCTGTTCTTTTACATTTGTCTGTCTTTTTTCTTTTAATAAAAACCTTGGTCCCTAGTAACATTTAAATAGTTTCAATATAATTATACTAATAGTACTACTAACTAAAACTTATTCTGTAAAGTTCTGAGTGTTTTTTGCCTTTCTTTTTGTACTTACTGCTTACACGTTTACATTAAGGATATTAACACAAGATTACCATGCTCAGACATTGGCTTGAGCACAGACTCTATCCTGTATGGTTATATGATCAGTTTGATACTGTTTGAAGCTAATGAGTTGGCTCCAACATGTGGCGGCCTTATGTATGTTGTTTTTGTGTGCTGTGGCGTCAATTCCAACTCATAGCGACCCCATGGGACAGTAGTACCGTCCCATGAGGTTTTCTTGGCTGTAATCTTTACAGAAGTAGATTGTTAGGTCTTTCTCCTGTGCAGCCACTGGGTGGGTTTCAACTGTCAAGCTTTCTGTTAGTAGCCAAGTGCATAACCATTTCACCAGGGCTCCTTGACCCCATGCATAACAGTAAATACTTGTGGTATTTCTGTTACAGCAGCACTAGATAACTGAGATGGTATGTTTCAGTATTGCCTTCCAAACTAAGGGGCTAATCTTTCAGCATTATATCAGACAGTGTTACGCTGTAATCCACCAGGTTTTCATTGACGGATTTTCTAAAGTAGATCGCCAGGCCATTCTTCCTAGTCTGTCGTAGTCTGGAAGCTCCACCGATATCTACCTGGACACCATGGGTAACCCTGCTGGTATCTGAAATACTGGTGGCCTAGCTTCCTGCATCAGCAACATATCAGCCACCACAGTATGACAAACTCACAGACAGGTAGTGGCAGTTTGATACGCTAGTACGTTTACTCGTTTGTGTTTACATGTATTTCAAGGTTTGCTTTCATTTTGAATTATACGTTTAACATATAAAGCTTTCCCATGGTTCAAAATTAAAAATCTATATGAAAAGGTGTATTCTGCAGGCTGGCTTCCTCCAATCACATGTGCTCTGTTAATATCGCCACCAGTCGCAAACCGTTTCCATTTTAATTGTTACCTGTGTAACCTTTCAGTGTTTCTCAGAAAATTCCTCCCACAGAATACATAAACACATACATAAATGTATTTTATTTATCATGTTTTCTTCACTTTTCCCCACTAAACAATATATAGTGGGCATCCATCTAGAAGAGAAGAGGCCAAGGTGTTGGCAAAGGCTGTGCATGTGTTTGGTAGAGCTCAGGAGGGTTGGTGGGCGTTTTACTTCTGTCTCCAAATGTCTTTGGTCAATGTCATTGTTGTGTGCTATCGAGTGCATTCCAACTCATAGTGACCATATAAGACAGAGTAGAACTGCCCCATAAGGTTTCCTAGGCTGTAATCTTTAAAGGAATAATCTCTAGGTCTTTTCTCCCATAGTGTCTGGCGGGTTCTAACCACTAGTTCGCAGCAAAATGCTTACCTCTGTGCAACCAGGGCTCCTTCCTTGTCAATGACCGTGTGTAAATATCCTGACAGTTCACCTAATGGTACCTTGTTAGGCTGTGCTCGTCAAGTGGCGAAAAAAAGAACCAGAGTCCTTCAAGTCTTTCTTTTTTCTTGTAGATTGAACATTTACAGTTTTAAACATACGGTTCAAATGTTTACCTGTAATATCAGTGTTATATATAATTCCTAGCACTTTAAGGCCCTTCTATTTATCGACAGATATTTTATGGAGGCTAGTTTCTGTGAGATGCCCTGGTGGTGCGGTGGTTAAGAGCTACAGCTGCTAACCAAAAGGTCAGTATTTGGAATCCACCAGCTGCTCCTCGGAAACCATATGGTGCAGTTCTACTCTGTCCTTTGCGGTTGCTATGAGTTGGAATTGACTTCATGGCAATGGGTTTGGTTTTTTTGGTTTAGTCTCTGTGAGCCACCACCCATCTGTCACTTTGTTGTACTGTGGTGGCTGGAAGTATGCCACCAGTATTTCAAATCCCAGCAGGGTCACCTAGATGGACAGGTTTCAGTGGAGGTTCCAGATTAAGATGGGCTAGGAAGAAAGGTCTGGCAATCTATTTCTGAAAATTAGCCAGTGAAAACCCTGTGGATCAGAACAGGATATTGTCCGATGGGAATCAAATACGCCAATGATGGTGAAGATGGCACAGGACTGAGCAACTTTTCATTCTATTATACAGAGGATCACCATGAGGTGGAGCCTAGTGGGCAGCTAACAACAAAATCTCTGTGACAGGCACTCACAGACCTTAGAAGGGGTTGGGATTTCTCAGCCACAGATATGCAGTTCTGAGTTGCTCTATTAAATGATGCTAACGATCCTCTTAACCATTTTTAAATCCTTCTGAGTCTAAGCAGGTATTTTTTTCATGGGGTGTCTGTCTGAAGAGGGCATAAAGAAACGCATATTGAGATTTTTTAAATTTCTGTTTTGGGAGCCCTGGTGGCTCAGTGGTTAAGAGCTCTGGCCACTAACCAAAAAGTCGGCAGTTCGAATCCACCAGCTTCTCCTTGGAAACCCTATGGGGCAGTCCTACTGTCTCCTATAGGGTCACTATGAGTCGGAATTGTCTCCACGGCAGTGAGTTGGGTTTTTTTTTTTGTTTAAATGTAGTAATAATAACAAGCTCAAAGTACTGCAAAACTGATCTTTTCTCTGAGACCTTCAGTTTTAAACCCAGGCGTCCGAGTGTGCAGATTTAAGAGTCGAGCCCCACCTGGCCCTGACAGGATCACGTTTCAGGGTGTGTGATTTAAAGCGCTGTGGAGACCCTCACGGGTTGTCTGCGGAGATCTGGATTTGATTGTTTAAGTTGGAGTCTGGACAAAAGGATCCCTGACCTCTGCGGATCCTCAGGTCTTTGCCCATGGAGAGGAGAGGGGACAAGGAGCCCATAGGAGGATTCCTAGTGGGTGAGATGTAAGACTTGGACCCCTTTTCCCTTGCGGCTGCCCAGTCCCCTTTTTGCCTGGGAACCCCTGTGTTTCCCGCAGAGACCTTCTGGAGTCAAGCTTCTGCCACCCCTTTACTTAGCTATGCGACCATAAGCAAGTTACTGGACTTGCTGTGCCTCTACTTCCTCGTTCTTAAAATGAATAAATTATGTCTTTCCGGCACATTCATCACCCTAACTCTCAGACACCGCTACCTGGCCCCACCTCTCCGCCCCGCTCCCCAGGCCGCCCCAGCCTGATGCTCCCCCCACCTCTCTAAGGGATCTCACATTTTCTGCTCTCAGCCTGTAGGGCCCAATAGCTGTTGGGACGCTCAGGCTCCGGATGCTCACTTGCACTGCGGCCCGTGGAGAGGCCTGAGGAAGGAGGGGCGGTTAGCACCAGGGAAGACGTGGGCTCACACTTCTCTCCACATTAGAGGGGCCACCTCATCAGGCTGAGTGACCCTCATGAAAACACCATCGTAAAACCACTGTGCTTACCTAGGGCTGTAGTTTCTCCTGAAAGGAAGATTAGTTCCACAGGCAGTTTTTTAAGGACTGCCTAGAATCCCACCTCTGCCCCACATCAGGTCCCCATGGAAGTCCCAGCACCCCGATGTCTGAGTCACACCAGCCTCACAGCGCACAAGCCTCCACCTGCCCTCAGAAAGGCCTTTAAGGTTTTTTCCTCTTTTATAAGAAAAATGTCTCAGCTTCCAATATACGTGGTCGACATCACGCTAGTCTGACCTCAACTTGTTTGAGACATGAACTTAAAGTAGGCAGGCAGTAGCCCTGACCCACAGAACATCAAAGAGATTCCTATGGATGAGAACGGTGAGAATCAAGTTCTGTTGTGTTAAAGGACCTGCAGGCCCAGAAGTTCAGAGGGGCCTGGAGAGAGTTATCAGGCCCGGCCTCGTACTGGCCCCACCCCCATCCCAACCCCGCCTCTGCACCAGCCCCGCCCCATTCAAACAACTTCCTGCCCAGGCCCGGGCACAGTCCTCGCCCCACCCCGTACTGGCCCCGCCCCCATCCTAACGCAACTTCCGCCCAGCCCCGCCCCGTTCAAACAACTTCCGCCCCAGGCATCGTCCCGTCCACGCCCCGCCCCCTGCGCTGCTCCGCCCACACCCCGCTAACCTGCACTGTCTGCTAACCCGGAAGCTCACTGCTCTGAGCAAAGGTCTCCACGGTGAGTGAGCTTCCATCTTTCCAGTTCAGAGCTGTGCTTGGCGTCGTTTCCAGCTCTCCTCTTCACTCCATCCTCCACACCCTCACGGGCGTCGCTGCGGACGTTAAAGTCCCTGCATCGCCGGCCCCACGCAGGTCCCCTTCCCCGCCGCGCCTGCCTCGTCGGCTGGCCCAACCCTGTCACGTGGTGAACTGGCCCTTATTAACGATACTTTATGAAAAACGCTGCTTTCGAGAAAGTCAGCCTGTTGCACACACAAAAACATCTTTATTTAGAAAATGGCAAAATAAATAGACATGCTGTTGGGAAAACGTATCAAATAGTTTTCAGATGTGGAAAACAAAGTGAAATTTAACTGCCTGCCCAACTACCTGGCGGTAAACTGCACTTCGCTTGGCCTTGCTTGAGCAGATGTTTTATGTGCATTATGTGTGCGCTTTGTCCATTCATAGTGGTGTCATTTTAAACGTTACCAATAGGGACCGCACACCCGCTCCTGTGCAGCTGTAGAGTCTGCTGCTGAGGGAGGGGCCCCAGCCTCAAGCTGCGGGAAAAGATCCTGGTGGCTCCTACAGGGGAAGGCGTGGGTGGGACTTGTTCCCTGGAGGCCTGAGGGCCACACAGGTGCATGGTGTTGGGGTGGAACACCGTGACATGTGACGAGTCCTGGGCTGGCTGGAGTCACTGGGCTCTGAGGCAGCTAGCCGGAGTCAGGATGCCTGAGGCCCACCGTCTCTAGACAGGTGAATTCATCCTGAGCGTGCACCTCTCACTTGTAAAGAGGATGTTGAGGTGTGGATCCTTGTCCAGCTCAGGCCCCCGCACTCCCTCTCAGCACTTCCTGACCAGCCCCTGCTGCCTCCACAGTGGGAGAGGCAGTGACTCTGAGAACCAACGCCTTCTCTGATGACCCCAGAAGCTAGGGGTCTGCAGGCCCAACTGAGAAAGGTTACTACCCAAATATCACCTTTGAACCCAGAACTGTGCCGTCTTGGGGGAGTTGCCACACAGTGCATGGGCTTCAGGGGAGATGCCAGGGCTTTGGTCCCCATGGGAGGTGGGCGTGTCCTTCGATGCCATGTACCCTACCTTAGGTGTTAAGCACTTGCTGGCGTTGTGCAGGGCAGGGATATGGGGTTTAGAATATCTCTGGTGTGCTTTTCTTTCCTTTTTGAATAATGGCCAGCTCCCATCTCCCTCAGGGAGACACATGCCTCACATGGGCCCCAGGTCCTGAGTGGCCTCAGACCTTGTCTGCAGCCACTCAACCACTCTCTTTGCTTATCTACTTCACACACACCTGCCTCAGGACCTTTGCGCATGCTGCATCATACACCTAGAATGGCCCTTTCTTATCCCAGGAGCCATCAGTCTTTGTTCAGACATCATATTTACCTCCAGGCTGCCTTGACCACCCAGGTGTGCTCCTGCACCCCTGCTGGCTTTGTTTTCTTCAGCATCTTCTCCCACAGGAGGTAACCCATGCGGGCAGGCTCTGCATATCCCAGGTCCTGCAAGCAGGTGGCATGCACAGAGCAGGTGCATAACCAGCCAGGTGGCAGCCTTCCACCTGACCCACCTGACCTGATAGTTAACACCTTCCCATGGGCGTTTGGTGCCCTCACACCCCGTAAGTAGACCTGCTGGGGACACATCCAATCCACCCTACATGCCCAGGCGGAAAGCCCCCCTGGGTGCCTTTGATGCCTCACAGCCTCCCTCTTCTCTCTCAGGAAGCTCTGCCCCCAGACATTCACCTTCTCCAGCATACTTGTGCCCTGCTGTAGTGGACAGGGGCAGCCTGGCAGGGGGGAGTGCAGTGGTGGAGGCCTTCCCTCTCCTGCCCTCAAACGCCTGGCACAGACTGATCTTTTTATTGTCTCTAGTTTTTGTCTTTTCCATAGTGTCTTCATTCACTAAGCAATATGCACTTAAGGTTCATTCCTAGAATTCCATGGCTTGATAACTCACTTTTTTTATTGTTTGCTGATAATCCATCATCTAGATATACCACAGTTTGTTAATCCATGCAGCGATTGAAGGACATCTTGATTGCTTACGGTTTTGTGCAATTTCGAATAGAGCTGCTATAAACATGTGCAGGGTTTTTATGTGAGCATACATTTTCAACTTATTTGGATAAGAAGTGAGGAGGAAGATTGCTGGGTCATATGGTGTGATGGTTAAGTTTGTGTGTCAACTTGGCTGGGCCATGATTCTATGGTTTGGCAGTTATGTGATGATGTAGTTTGGCAGTTATGTAATGATGTGATTTGGCAGTTATGGAATGAGGTAGTCATCCTCCATGATGTGATCTCATGTGATCAGACAATCAGTTGTAAGGTGAGTTTCCTCAGGACTGTGGCCTGCATCCAATATATATATGGAAATTCTGGCAAAACTTGCTTGCTTGCTCGCTCTGGATCCAACATCTGGCTTGTCATCATCTGACCCCAAGTATTGCCTGCCAATCTTGGGATTCATTGGCCTCCACATCCTGTGAGCCAGCAGCCTGCCATCTGATCTGCTGATCTTGGGTTCATCAGGTCCTGCAGCTACATAAATTAGGAGAAGCTTCCAGTCTGATGCCTGACCCACCGAGTTGGGACTTGCCAGCCTCTACAGTTGCATGAGCCATTTTCTTGAGATAAATCTCTCTCTCTCTGTCTGTCTCTCTCTCTGTGTATGTGAGTGCATGTATACTTCACTAGTTTTGCTTTTCTAGAGAACCCAGTCTAAGACATAGGGTTAATCTATGTGTAGCTTTGGAGAAGCTGCGAGACGTTCTTCCAAAGTAGCTGCATCATTTTGCGTACCCACCAGCAATGAGAGTTCCTGTTGCTCCATGTTCTCACAAGCATTAGAGGTTGTCAGTGTTTTAGATTTTAGCCATTCTAATAGATGTGTAGTGGAAAATATGGTGGAAAACTCAGTAGGACATCCTCATCTAGATATTTAGGAAGCACATATGACCTTCCCAGGTATCTGGTTTTAGTCATGAAACCACCACATGGAGTAGGTTGTCATCTAAAAGAGGGCTGATTCAAATAGACTTCAGAAGGAAGTCTTCCAGATAAAACCACTTCAAAGACTAGCTCATCTATTTGGGGATGAGGCAGCTGAAGAGGAATTATAACAAAACTGAGAATAAGACTCGACTTATAAGTCAGCAATTCCCCAAGCAAAACAAGCAGAGAGGCCAATCTTGCCTCATTTACCACAGGCAGAAATTAGCATTTACAACACACAAGAAAATTATATCAATCACAAAATGGAGGACAACCACACAATACTGGGAATCATGGCCTAGCCAAGTTGACACATATTTTTGGGGGACACTATTCAATCCATGACAAACATCAACAGAAAATGATCCTGAAAATCCAGCCAGAAAAGGTACCTTTGAGAGACAACTGCTTTTATTTTTATTTTATTTTATTTTATATTTATTTTATTTTATTTTATGTTGGTTTGCATGGACCATAGGTTTCTTTAAAAGATATTTTATCATTTCATTAATAAGTTTTGTGTATTTTTCATATAGCATTAAATATTTTTACACTATCATGTTAATGAAGAGACCTGGTAGTGGAAGGGTTAAGCACACAGCTGCTAACTGAAAGCCTGGTGGTTTAACCTACCCAGCTGCACTGTGGGAAGAAGACCTCGCAGTGTATTTCCGTAAAGATTACAGCGTAGAAAACCCTAGGGGCAGTTCTGCTCTGTCACATGGGGTCGTAAGGAGTCAATATCTACTTGACTGCCCCTAACAACAACAACAACATCATGCTAAAACCAAAGAAACCAAACCGGTTACTGTTGGGTAAATTCTGACTTATAGTTTATTGGTCCAGTTGTGAGGATTTTTGTTTTCTTTATGTTGAGATGTAATCCATACTGAAGGCTGTGGTCTTTGATCTTCATCAGAAAGTCCTTCAAGTCCTCTTCACTTTCAGCAAGCAAGGTTGTGTTGTCTGTATCTCCCAGGTTGTTAATGAGTCTTCTTGTAATCCTGATGCCCCGTTCTTCGTATCGTTTATCTCGGATTATTTGCTCAGCATACAGATTGAATAAGTATGGTGAAAGGATACAACCATGACATACAATTTTCCTGACTCTGAACCACGCAGTATCCCCTTGTTCTGTTCGAACGACAGCCTCTTGACTACTAAGGTTTCTCAAGAGCACCATTAAGTGTTCTGGAATTCCCATTGTTTTAGGCACACAATCTTAACCATCACACCCATTCTTCTCAGTGTTAACTAGAGATGCATTTAGAACCCAAGTTTGGTTCATTTTGATAATAGACAATGTCTCAAGCTAATTAGCTGATCACTGAACGTTAGCTGAACTTGATCTTTCCATGAAACAGTGCTGGCAGATTATTATTTAATTAGTAGACTTAACTTTTCAGAATAGTTTTCGATTAACATCAAAATTGAGCAGATAGAGCAGAAAATTTCCATGTTCTTCCTCACACTTCACACTTACAGTTTCCCCTAGAATTAGCATCTTACTTTAGGGTGGTTCATTCGTTATAATTAATGAAACAATACATTATCATTGACTAGAGTCTGTATTTACATTTTGCTTCACACTTTGTATTATAGAGTTGTATGGGATTGATAAAGGCGTGATGTCATGTGCCCACCATTGCATTATCAGAATAATTTCACTCTCCTCAAAATCATTGTTTGGAATGTTATTATTGATTTAATTTCTTCAAGTTATAGGGCTATTCAGATTATCTTTTTTCTTTGTATAAGTTTTGGTAGTTTGAACTTTTCAAGGAATTGGTCCTTCTCACCTAAGTTATAAAATTTGTGGGCATAGAGTTATTCATGATATTCATTTAGTATCTACTTATTGTTCATAGTATCCGTAGTGGTAATCCCTCTTTCATTTCTGATATTAATAATTTGTGTCTTCTCTCTCTCTGTCTTTTTTCTTATCCTAGCTAGAAAGTTATCAATTACATTGATCTTTTCAAAGGCTCATTT